TTGCTGAGAGCCAAGAGAGCTCCTGATTGCATTCTGCCAATAGTGTGCCATCACTTGGGAGTCCCAGTCACAGTCGGCTAGTGACCTAACCCAGGCGCGAACCTGTGACCATAGCATTCAACCTACGCTCAGATAAGCAACTTTACTGATTTTGGGGCAACTGAGAGTCCCAATGGGAGTTGATCATCAAGTCAACTGTGCTCCCCTGAAAGAGAGTGCTGCCTGTTATCTTAGGAATACTGTGTACTGAATTAGAGAGGACAAGGATAAAGGAAGATTTGGCTTCGATTGTACTACAACTTTCAGCTCAATCGGTTTCCTGCTTGTATTCACGTATGAACAAATCCAGCTAGGGAGCTCCCAAAAACTCTCTAAAAAGCCTCAAGCACAAATGCTGAAGAGAATACAAATTCGAATTTATTTTAACAACAAGAATGACCTCAAACCAGGGATTGAATTTTCAATTTTATAGACTCGTGTGCTTTTTCAACGTTAATCTAAATAACGCAGAAATTGAGCAGCTAAGATTTGGGCTTTTTGAGATAGGCCTCTGATCCCCTGAGACCCTGTATTGGATATCGCCGTTAGTCATTATATGTGCGTGGGATTTCCTTTTAAAACTTTCTAAGAAACGCTGATCGCTCACACAGAGCCACACACACGACTGTTTGTGCTGATTTGCCTACCAGGTCAGGAGAGACTGTATCTAACCCTGAAGTGATGAAGACACCGAGCTTCAGCAGCATCACAGAGTGAGCTGCCTGGGGGAAGGCACAGAGTCTTGGAGGAATGCTCCCTGGAGATCAGTGCCTCCTGATTGTAAACCCAGCCTCAGCCTCCGCCTGGCACCACTTGGCCGGATTCAACTATATAAAATATATTAGAATCTCAGCAACCACTTCATCACATCGTTTCCATCTTGAACAGGTGTCATATCAATAAGCATTTGACAGGGTAATGTATACAGTGCATATATCTATCCTTGCATCCAAGTGATCCAAAAAGCAGGTTCTCAGTGTTAATTCAAAAACTGAAAATATTGATGGTCGTTTGTTGCTTTTTCCTCAGTGTGGAGCACATCCAGCAGGAATGCAGGACCGATCATTACTGCCAGGCAGAAATAGTTTATTGATTTGCTCTGGGGTTGTATATGCAAGTAATCTTTTATTAGAAGTCAACGGTTTGTGTTCTTCTGATTAATCTGCCCCGCTTAAAAAACAAAGGAACTGCGTGCAGGCCGTTCGGAAGCCCCCAACAGGGGCAAACACTTTCCGAACTCCGGAGCTCGGGAGATGTGGATGTAGGTGCTGACGAGGTCGGAGTAAAAAACGTTTGGTCGATCGCCTAAGGTAAGCTTTCTCTGGGCAGCTCTGTCACGTGTCATCCAACAGGCACTATCATTTCCACTCCTTGGAAAAATAAATCTATTAATAGATATGCCTGCATTAGATAGGGAGTGGAGAGCTTCTGAATTACAAGCATACTTTCAGGAAGGAAATGCTAGAAACTTAATGCATCCGCCCAGAGACGTGCACTGTGGTAGGTCATAGAACCACAGTAACAGCAAACCGTAGCTGGACAGACAGAATTTGCAGCAGAACATGGAGACATATGGTGATGAATAACTGAAGTCTGAGGGATTCACAACAGTGCTAAAGCTTCACAGCGCTTACCTCAAAGCACAGAATCGCTAAGGGGTGGGATGAGCTGCCGAGCCATGCTGTGTGTCTTTTGGTGCTCAGAGAGAGAAACTCACTCTCTGCACTGATCTGCTCTGTTCAACCCTGATCGATTGATCAAACAATCAATCAATCAGTTTCATAATTCAAAGTGTTTAATCTAGCTAATGAAATTCTTAATTCATCTTAATAATGAGAGTTATTATAAAAGTCAGCAGCAGGGATAAATGAAGCAAGTCCAGTTCTGTTTCCAGGTCCCTGTAATGTCATGGATGGGAGGGGAACGGCACTCTGTCCCTGGCCCAGCTGACATCAAGGCACACACTGGAAACCCGTCAACTGGGACTGGCTGCTTTCTGTCTGATCCAGGCCTCGGCGTGCGGGTGTGACCGTCACGGCTCTGTGGCGGCTCGTGCTGCAACACCTGGGGCGCGAACCCGGGTCTCCGGTGTAACG